CACACCGTAAAATGCAAGTTCTTGTCCTATTATTTATATTTCACGTTCTCTTTAAGTCACGATCTTCACAGTATCCACTACATGATAAGAGAAAAAAAAGGATACTCATGTACATCCTTTTTATTATCCTTTTCATCCTTTTTATTATCATGAAACAGGTGTTAATTTGTTAAAGTGCTAAATTTACATTTTCAGTTTACAAATACATTTATAAAAGACAGTATTACAGATTTAATTTTATTTAAATAAATGAAAATTTAAATTTTCCTTATGATTAGGAACACATTTCACAACTTATGCTATACATTTTCATTGAGCCCTATTTAAAGAAGTTGATATGTTTCAACTCAGAACACTATAAATAATACACAACTTAAATTTAAATGCTGGCATAATTTTCAGAAAAAATTTTTTTCCGACAAATATACTATTTTTCGATCACAGCTCCTGCCCCGAGTTCATAAAAGGCCTCGTGTGGCTTTTATTTTCTTAACCGTTGATCGTAGACATACATTTCAAGTACAAAAATGTTTTTAATATTCATGTTACTCTACTTTAAAATTTAAAACAAAAATGCAGTTTATTTATTTTTTTAATGGCCGTGCGCTTTATTTAACACCCATTAGCCTTGCATTATGGTGGTGTGGTGTATTTAATTATGGCAAAGCACACTAGGGCTATCTGCCTAAGAGGAGGGATGCCTTCGTGGAGGATTTTCTAAGGAAAACTGGCTCGTATAAACGTTACACATGGGGAAAACCCCCTTTCATTATGAAAGCACCTAATAAGTGGCCACCATTGCCTCCTACGAAAGGACGGACAGTTACAACCATGTCTTCTCCGCGATTCGAACCCGAGCTCATCGATACAGCCGTCCGGATCACTAACCACTTTCGTTTCCGTCGCATGGACATAACTCTGATTGGTGAAGAACCTCAGGTCGGAGGTCCGTGCGACGGCGTTTCGGTTACTAACCATTATACCAGCTGGGTGGCAAAATCTACTTTATTGTGGTAAAGAAACGGTTTACCGTATGTACGAACCATGCGGCCATTAATTTGTTATCCAGACTCATAAAGTGGATACTTAAATTACAAGAATACTATTTAAAAAGTAAAAATTAATATAATACAGACACAAAAGTGAATAAAAAATTCTGAAACATCTCAGATTTTATATCACTCCAGTATATGTTTTTTTTTTTTTTTCCCTTTATAGACACATACATCCTTCGAGAGCATTTGGGCTAATGTCCCTTGAGCTAAAAATATTTAAAAAACATCATAACTTTAGAATTCGTGATGGACAGTCTCGCGCGAGAAAAAAAAAACTTTTTTTTTTTTTTTTTTTTTATTAATTTTTTTTTTTATTTTTTTTCTCGTACGGTGTTATCATTGCTCGCTTATTCCAAATTTGTGCTTCCAGATGCCCATATTCGGGTACGTACGTTATTCAAGGCTCTAGGTACCGTTGTTTTATCACAATGCGAAAAACATACATGCATTTATGCAGTTCCTTCATTATTTAGTTTCTTTCAATACAGGGCGATAATATTTGGTGGGAACTATTTGAAAAATGATTTCGAGACTAATAGGCCTTCTGAGCTAATGCTCCCTTTCGGCCAATTAAACTTTTTATATCTTTTCTATAATTATACCGCATTTACTTGAAAGTAAAGCATTTCAAATATAAAATGCTCTTATGTTTTAGGATAAATGCTAATTAAATGCAGTAATTTATTATGCTATAGAAAGAAAAATTAGGCAAAATTAGTGGTACATCTTGTTTCCAGGTGTACTAGTTATCAGTATAACGGACGCAAGCCTAAAATGAAATCGCTCAACTGTACGTGACTATGCAATTGCAAATAATTATGCAGTTAATAGACATGATAATTAATTACCTATGTGGTAATTTACTAGTATATGCATTCATACATGATGATATGATGAATAAACTCCTTCATTTCTTTTTACAATTTCATTTATTAAAATACCCGATTATATTCAGTTTTGAGTAAATATGGAATTTATTAAAACATTTATACACACCATAAAAGCGCAAAAATTTGACTCTCTTACAAAACTGATAGAGATATTTTTTTAATTTGAAAATTTGGGGCTTTTTATCTTTATTGGTTACTTTATCTTTTTGGGTTGTCTTCAGCCGTCATGCTTAAAAAAATTACAGGTTGTATTTTTTCTGCCTTTAACGTCACTGAATGACATTCCTTTGCAATATAAGTTTTTAATTGCTAAAAATGCATTAATAATATTAACATGCAGGTCCATTATTTTGGGCTCATAAGATAACAGTCATATTAAATAATTTATTCTATCAGAAATATTCACTCCTTTTAATTTATGCAGTGTAAATTGGCTATGTGCCATTGATTTATACAACACAAATTCTTTAAGTTTATGTAAATAAAATCTCCCTAGATCAAAACTTTTTACGACAGTTTACATAGAAATGCTAGACACTTAATCTATTAACATCAGAAACTTCTTTCTAGAACGGTAATTCATTTTTAATACTTACAAATTTAAATATTTCTCTCTTTAATCTTTGTAATGACACCTAAATATGATCTAAAACTCTAAAATTAAATACTTTTTATTAATTTTTGTCATATGGGTGTCAAACCTCTTGTGTTTTATTTTTCTAGAATGAGAAAACTTCTGGTAAATATAATTATATTGACCCTTGGATCCATAAAATATGATTGGTTGCCATTTCACACTGAACATTTCAATGGTTTACATGAAATACAGATAGAACAGAAAGCAGGTGCCAACACGCGATATGCAAGACTGGTATTTCAATCTACTTGGTCAGTAAGGCTGTAGAGTCTCACCTTCTTTGGTAGCATAAATTGGTGGACTCCAGAAAGACTGCAGAGAAATAATTATCTTATTTTAAACTGCAGAAGTCGGAAAAAAGGTGTAAATAGCCCTTTTATTTTAGCACAAGAATTAACAATGACCCGACTTGGGTTTACACAAGCCAAGCTTAACAGAAATACGTAATGTTAAACTAATTCAAATGTGTTAGATTAGTCTAACGGCTCACAGAGTAATTTAACGCGCAGGAAAGGCTCTGGTTCGTAGAATACGGCGAGACAAGGAAATGGCTAGAAGAACTCAACTTCACTGAATCAAATCGCTAAAAATCATTGCACAATGTGGCCTGGATTAGGTAGACATGCTCTAAAAATAACTTGCGTAACCTTTGCTTAAATAGCCCTTCTTTCTATTCAAATAGTAATTAACTTTCTAATATTTTGATAATTTTTGTTTTATATCATTTTAGATTCAAAAGAGTAACGCGCGAATAAATGCTGGAGCTATTAGACTGAAATTATTTTCGATATGAGTATTCATTTTATTTAACAGCAAATATTTAGTTTTACCAGTTGGCAACATTAAGAAAAGAAAAACATTTGAATAATTTTTATATATATGTAGACATGAAAACTCTTAATGCTAAAATCTCTCTTCAGATCATAGATTGAAATTTGAAATTTTCAGACTGCAAGTTAATTTGTTTTGAATAGTGGGTCCATTAAATTTTGATAAAACTTTACGTTATATTGATTTCTGATATTAGCGATATATTCATGCCCTGAATATAATATTTTATGTACTATAAAAACGAATATAAATAAAACTTTCAATGATTACCATCTAACAGTACTTATCTTTTGTTTACTAACCTTAAATTTGTTACTGAACAAACACTTGAACATGAAATTGATAACTGGCTGTTGCTCAAACATCATGCAAAGAAAGGTTTGATCCGTGAAGTGTAAAACTGAAGTTTTTCTCTTAGCACTTTTAGACACGCTATATAGTCATCGATAAATGGTTTCGAAACTTATATAAAACGGAAAGTGGTACAATGTTTTATGAAATATAATCAATAAGCAATTTCCTATCTCACAGAAGGGAAATTAGGAGTCTCTTATATAATATTGACCTCACTATTCGAAATCCTCATTATCAGCGCTATGTAAGCATTTTGTCATTTAATTTAATAACCTTACCTGAAGAAAAACTTTTTTAAGAACACGAGTCACTTGTTGCCATCAAGCATGCAAAAGTGTTGCCTGTTACTTATTGCTGTATCGTTTTACCTTCAGAACTTAGAATGCGGTTAAAATTCCTCGCTATTAACTATTATAGTTATATACGGATTATCTAACACATTACTTGAGTTACTACTTTTCTCTCATCTTTAAATACATGAAAAAAGGAAGCGATAGCTGAATGAAGCATTTCCTTGAATTGTGCTTAACTATTTCTGCACTTGCACAGTTTTTTCAAACGTAATAAATTACTACAGTGGAATCGTTTGCCATAATGGAATGATAAGCATTTTCAAACGGACTGATCCAATATTTTTTACTAAAACTAAAATTCTAAAATTCAATAGAAACTTATTGTCCAAGACTACCGTTAAGATGCTTCAAACATTCAATATAAACTGCAGGAAAAGTGAGAAGAAATGAAATTTTAAGTATAGTTCATCACTGCTGCATTATCTTATTATATCTCCAGTTGTTGCAAGCACAGACATTCTGTCATAACACTATCGAGAACATGAGCGAGAAAATCTTTCAACGTAGAACTAATTTTCGGCAGGTGGTGAAAAATAATTCTTTATCAAATGAAGAAGCAAGTGACGTAAGTTCAGCCAGTGACAAATCTGGATTAGTGAAGACGAAATGGGCTAGTGAAGAAGATATTCATTGGAACAGTGAAACAAGCGCTATGCCTCCTGCGCTTGATTACTGTAACATTAACCAGCAATTCCTTTTGAGTCAGTACAATACAATATCATCAGAATTAAGTAGCAGAAAACCAAAAGTGTTCGTTGTGGATAACGTATCCTGTAGAAATACAAGGAGTGAGAATTTTAATGAAATTCAAAATGATGCATTTGCAAAGTATAAAAACATCAAGTCTGAAGAAAAATCTAGTTTCAAGGCAATCGCAGCAATGTTTTTCAAGAAATCATCAGTTTATGCTTTAAATCAAGTAGCAAATTCTAAAACTCGTACCCGTAAATTCTTTTGGAGTTTTCTTGTGGTAGTTGGATTAATAGGTTGTTGCTCACAAATAATTCGTTATTTGACAGCATACTATAAATATCCAGTCGTAGTCAATGTCGACACTGTTAGCGAATTCAGCCAAACATTTCCAGCTGTCACGATATGCAATTTAAACGCTGTGCGGAAGAGATTCATTCCTTGCATATTGCAGGAACTGAGTTATGAAGAATGTAATGAATCTTTGTATACCAATCAATCTAAAGATCAGTTCCAGTTCAATGTCTCACAACCAAACTGTTTCAAAGAAACCAAAAAGACATTTAACCCTGAAACTCTTGAAACTATGTGGTTTTACTTCTTGTATTCAAAAATAGACGCAGACAGTCGTAAGAATTATGGCCACCAAAAAGAAACCTTTATCACATCCTGCTCTTTCAATCACGAAATCTGTTCCCATGAAAATTTTACTTTGTACCAAGATCCTGCATTCGGAAACTGTTATACCTTTAACAAGGGTTACGACAACAAACCTCCTTTAACCACTTCTTTTATCGGCCCCAATGGAGGACTGCAGTTAGAACTGGATTTAGAAACTACCGAATATTTTTGGTTGACTGACAGAGTAGGAACATGGGTTGTTATCCATGACCCATATGACGATCCAGAGCCAAGTGAGGAAGGCTTAAGCGTTAGTCCGGGATTTGAGACAAATATAGCTGTATCTAAAATTACTTTTTCACGGTTACCATATCCTTATAAAGATAAATGTATCCCTTACCAGTCGGGTGACAATCAAAGAAAATGTGAAGCAAAATGTTTCAGAGATGCAATGTATTCTGCTTGCTCCTGTCAATTACCATTCCAGGATGTTGCAAGGGATGCTCGATACTGTGATTTGGAAAACGATGCCGAAATTTGCTGTATCTTTCAAAAGGTGAAAGAGATAGAAAACAAATGTCAGTGTCCACTCGAGTGCGAAATTTCATCGTATGATATCAAAATCTCCAACGCGATGTGGCCATCGGAAGCTTATATTACACCGAGAATGGTAGACGCATTCGATGAAAACATTTCGCGAGAGGAATTTCGGAAGTTTAGTCTAAAACTTAAAGTTTATTACGATACATTGCAGCATGTAATTTACCGACAGAAACCAATGTTTGATGATTCTGAAGTGCTTAGTCAAATCGGGGGACAAATGGGACTATGGCTTGGTGTCTCTTTAATAGCCATATTTGAATGTGTGGAAAATTTAGTACTCGTGTGGCAGTTCTGGCGCAATAATCGTATCCTGGATCGTATCTGAATAAAGTAAAAATAAAAATGGTCATCAATCGAGTAATTATGGATGATACTTGTAATTAAGGATACCTGTATTAAACGATCATCAACCAATTAAAAATCCGAAGTGTTATATAGTATATGCCTGCACTTATAGAAAAAATACTTGTAGAAAAATTTGTAGCAATTAGTGCGTACTAAATCTATTGCACTTTCTTAATCTAATGGTAGAGAAATTAAAAACAGCTGCATTACTTTCAAATCTGTATTAATTTCTTAGAATTCTTTGAATATGATATTCCAATGCTCAGTGTAAAGTGAATTTTCTTCTGTTTAATATTCTGAGGGGAAAAGTAAAGTTTGAAGTAATAATAAAAACCTTATTAAAAATCTTATTTAGTTAATAGTTGATGAAGAAAAACCTCGCAGCGCTTTCAAAACCATTTTAATTTAAATGCTTTAAATCATTTATGAAGAAATAATCAGCCTTCTCGCAGGTAAGTTTTTTTCCCTTAATGTAAGTTTTGTTTTAATAAATGTTTTCAAATTTCCAAATTAAACTATTTTTTTTTCTGTTAAAACTCATAAATAATATATTTGTCATCTAAGTTCTGTTTGATTTTTCATGTTTACTCCATCCTCTACCTCTAATATATCTGAATGATCATTTGAGCAAATTTGTGATTTAACTTATTTTCAAATTTTAATATAATTTGTTGTTTTCGCATCTTTCGAACAGTTCATAATATTTTTTTCACAGTATAAGATCTTCGTATCATACAATTATGATTTCAGTCATAAGATCATAAGATCGTACAATCATGAAGATCATAAGCTTGTGAAAACAGCGCATAAGATTTTTCATCCCAAAAATTGATGGCAAAAACATTGAATAGTACATTCTTTCTCAGCTATTCATTTTTAACGCATTTAAAAATGACAAAGATATCTACACAAACCACATTTTAATGTACAACTGCGTAAGAAACTGAATATACTAATACCTAATTTTTGAAAATGTAGACACCAGTTCCATTATTTGAAGAATAATTAATGAAATATAAATACAATTATATATTTCTAGATACAGTAGTAAATTACAACATTGATACCCTACTATGCTTTATATTAATGCATCTCATGAAATTTACCGCCAAAAGAGCAGTTAAATGCTTTCGTGTCTCAATATAAGAAATTCCACGTAAGGACCCCTAAAAAAGGCTACTCATGAAGCTCTATCCAGGAGAAACACTGAAGAATTTTAATTTCTATTGTATTTTAAGATTATTAAGTTATTTATCATAAGCAATTAAATTGCTTTGAAAATAAAAATATAGGTAACAATTTTTATAATTATTTTTAAAAAATGTAAGTATAATTAATACTATTTATTAATATTACAATTATTAATATTACTTTTCAAAATCATGGATTCCTTTAGCCAGATAGATCTAAGACTGAAATGCAACAGTGATCTTATGTAATATTAATTAAAGGGAATAATAATTTAGCTAAAATAACAAAACTCTAGCACTTTTTTGCTTATTTCGATATTACGACACAATTTCAGTTTATAGAATTTTAATATACATGTATTTAACAGCTAACCTCCGTTTGTTGTATAAATACATTTCTACTTTTAATATTTTCTTAATTTTACAGTGTTATGTTGTAACATTGCTTAAAAGTATGAAGTCTGGCGCAAATTTTTAGTTAACCTTTCACAATTTTATTATATAAATACTGCCATTGCGTGAAATATAAGATTTTTAATTAACATGCTCAGTGCAGCCTCCCAAATAGACATTTCTCAGAGTTTTTCTATTTGGAGAAACATAAGATTTTTAGTTTATATTTCAAATTTAGTCAGACTGTAATAGCTTATCAATCTTGGCAAATTAAAAGTAATGAAATATGGTAAAATTTAAATTTTTACTTTTAATAATGTATCTAATTGTTTTAATTTAAATCACGTTTAATTACAATGCATTCAAACGATAATGCTTGCAGCATTATTATAAATAATAAAGGATCTGTCTAATGCAATATCCGTATTACATACCAAGAATCCGTTTGTTTCCTATATTTCTCATTTAAACCTTAAGATTTTTTGCAGTGGTATCTCCAATTTCATAAAATAAAATGTAAAATAAATTTCAATAATAACTATTTAGGAAACATAATCTAGCATTATTAAAATCATATTCATCTGTGTTTCGAGACTTGGTCTAAAATATTGAATAATATTTTTCTTTCTGTGTACACATCTTTTTAATAACAAAAATAATTTCATTGGAAGTTATTGTGATTATTTCCTTTTAAACGCTTATATTAAAGTACGAAATCAGTCTTTCAGTATTTGCTGCTATATAAACATGGCACTCGTTATATTTAGACATTAAATCTACTTGTCCTGGAAAGTTCTCTCATATTAGACTTCATAGACTCTCAAAGAAAGTTTGTTCCTTTTCACCAGAGATATAATGATAGGAAAAAAACATCTCTCTAAAATAAGCCTCTATTTTTTTTCTTCTTGTCTTACCTTATTGATCAATTTTTATTTCTAGGCATTTAAATACAGATCTTTTCATCTGCTAAAAAGGATTTGTATAATTGCGAGAAATTTCATGGTTAGACAGACGAAAGAGAGTCTTTGCTGAGCCCACTTCTTGAAAGATAATTCGCAATTAGAATTATACAATTTGCAATATTAATAATATATGATTAACAGTACGCCAATCTGACCACAAAAACCACAACCCAGAAATCATCTATACATATATCTCCCTAAATTTCTGGCTGTGCCAAACCCACTCTGACGATTCCACTATTAACTCAAATAAAATCGTAAGTACCACAATAAATACATTCATATGCAAAATTTAGAAAATTTGCAGATTATGCCAAATTTGAAAAATTAATGGATAGATGCTAATGAAATTTGGTAGGAATACACATTTATAACAGAGAAAGCGATGTACCAATCAAAAGTCATTTACTCAAAATTGTTAGTAAAGCTCATAGTGCGGGGATTTCCAGAATCCACCTTCAGATATCGAACTGAAAAAAGGTCTAATATGCGGTAGGGTTTCCTCTCACAGACAGACAGGTCGCGTAGCGAAACGATATACTGAACAGTCGGCAAGTGAGGGATCAATGTGGCAGTCGAGTAAGGAAGTTTTCAACTCCCGGATGGTTCTCAGAGGAAGATGGCGAGAGAAAATTGCCTTCCTAAGAGCCTTCCAGACATACTGTACAGGGTTAAATTCGGGAGATCTGGATGCGGTGAATATCATAATTTCTGAGGTAATCGTCGACTAGCTGAGACCTATGCAGATGAGCATTGTTGTCTATTAACAGAAATACAGAACCAATTGCGCTCCTGTAAAGTCGAGAATAAGGCTTTAAGATATCTTCCCTGTACATCATAGCAGTTAGAAAGCCTCTGTCAAACACATGTAGGAATGTGCAGACGTCTAACATAATGCTCCACTGAAGTCTGGTCCAAGTCGCATGTTGTTTACAACATATTAAACGTTCTTTCTTGTGTGCAGTGAGGCGGGGACGCAAACAGTGGCTCCTCTGGCACACAGTCCCATCTCATGAAGCCTCCGAGCAACTGTGGACTGTAAAAATCGCGTTCCAGTGGTAGCATACTGCTCTCGTGAGAGCTGTGAAGCTATAGTAATCCTGTGTAGCAGCGCTGAAAGTGCCAAATAATGATCCTCCGTCATCGTTTCGGATCTTGATCGATCTTGTTCAGGCCTTCTCGGTATAGATCCAGTATCCTGAAACTGTTTTCACAAATTGCAGAAGAAAATGGGTGTCACATTGAGCTCTGTAGCCGCCTGCGCTTGTGACTGGCCTGCCTTCAATCTAGCGACAATGCCATACATACGTTCGTGGTTACTCATCCTACCAGATACCTCATAAAATGTATCCAGAATAATGGCGAATGTCGGGAAAGATTATCGAGCACACAAATCGTCGAAAACCTCTCGTGCGCTTATTCCCTTTCACAATCCCAGCTCCGCAGACACACAAGTGTAGGCTTACATATTCAACTCTTGATATTTGCATTATTCTTCGGGGACATAATTAGTATCTTTAGTTCAATACTGTTCGTAAAAACAGACATAATTCGAAAATTCTCTTAATTTTGCACACGAGTGTAAATAAAGGAATTAAATGTATGCAAATATAATAAGTGGTCAAAAATCAGAGATCACACGAAACAGGCAATAAATAAATTACCGCACAAAAATGTAGTAAAACTAACGCACATCAATATAACATACATTAAAAACCTGTATTCAAAGTATAAATAAATAAAAAAAGGATATATGCATAAATTACAACATTAGTATTGTATAAGAATTTAAAAACAAAACATAGTAAAGAATAATTGAAAATTTTAATATCTAAAATAATAAAAAAGTGAACTTAAGAACGTCTCACTGGAAAGCCATCAAAGATCGTTTAAATTTTTTAGCAGCATATATTGTGATTTGTGTTGCAGTAGTTGAATTTTAACTCAAATATTAGAACAAAAAAATTTCTTTGTTTTGAGGACAGTGACGAACTGTCAGTGGGCTAGAGTTATTGAAAGAGTGTCGTAAAAATTAAGGTTAGGATATTTTCAAGCAAATTTTACCTGATGTTCAAAAGCATTAAAAGGAACACCATTTCACTTCTTTTTAGAGCGAAAGCGTGCCGTTTGAGTTTAGTCGGGATTTTCGGGTGTATCACTTTACATCGGCTCTACGCGAGGAAGTAATAGCAGTTAGTTTCCACCTGTGTCCACACAGATGTTGTCCATACAAAGCTATTAAGTACATGGGATAAGTCGAAAGAAATTAAAATTTTTCGTGATTCGTAAAAGTGAAATTAATTTGACTTTTAGAGCTACGTATACTTTAATCTGAAAAAATGCTCTTACAAGGAATTAAGTAAACTGTTTCAACGCCAGTAATTCTTGGTTTATGTATAGAGAAGCGATAAGTTGAACGAGTCCTCAGACAAGATATCACTACCGAGCAAGCACAAGCAAACTACGAAATTGTTTTAAAACAATGATCACAAAAACTAGATATACCCCATATGTTCTCATCTGTATAAAAATGAAGCATTATATCCATCATCACAGATTGAAATGTTACAGAGCTTTAAAATGTTTAACTATATGCAAATTAAGAAATAGACAGTTTTGCTAGCTTTGTATTCTTTTTGAGACCGATTCTTTTGAATTATTTATTTATTTTTTATGATACCTATCAAATAAAAATAATATTTATTTATTATGGTCTGACAAGTTTGATTTC